GTGAGGTAATCTGTGATAGTCMCATAATGACCCACAGTTACACACAACGTTTTTGATAATGAGAATTCTATAAAAGTATAGTTGCCAATTTTTTTAAATCACAATGTTAAAGCACAAGTAAAAACCCTTAGTCCACCTATACAAACTAGTTAATAATAACTCATGATGCTTTCATAAAGATCAACTTTGAAAAGTTACACATAGCTTAATGAAAACCATGCACACACTGGAATTCTACYRWGTGTCCTCCAAGTAAGAACAGAAGCAGCCCTGCTTATGCTGCTATCATTTAACCTGTTTATAAAACAGTGAAAAGCTCCACTCTTCATGTCCCAGATCTGTTTTTTATACCTTCCTGAGGTCATACCTACTGGGGTGGCAGCTGTATCCAGACGTTCAGGGAGATACTGCTAAGCAGCTCCTGGCCACATCCTACACATCCCAGCTCTCCCTCTGTTCCAAACAGAACCTCTGCAGTGAGCCTGAGTAGATGGCACCTTAGAAAAAATAAATGAAATACCAGAGCAAGAAGGAAGCAGCAGCACCTTCATTYTTCCCAATGCTGCCCTTCAAACCTGCAAGATGCTGGAAAGCCAATTGCAAGTGATGAGAGTTAATGGGGTGGTGTGAAGAGTCTGAAATTCCTGCTCAGACGTTAAAACAAGTCCCCCTGACACTCCAGTGTCACTCTCAACACAGGGCTTCATCCCATCAATGAGCTGCCACAGCAAGAGCGCGAGCTGCGAGCGTGGAGTCCCTTCTGCACCTGGAGCCAGATAACACACCTTGGGAAATGGGATGAACTTCTGCTCTCCAGCATATGTAATCTGCTAATCCAATTTGCATAATTCTTCCAATATGTGACTTGCTACAAGYTCTATACATCTGAAACCCATGAAACAGGACAGATGATGTCCTGTACAAACCACTTCCATCTGCATCTCCATGGAAGTATTTCTTTCTTGTACATCCAATTGATTTTTCTGTTTCAGCAGCAGAAAGCACAGTTTCTGTGAGGCACTCCAGTGCATTGTCTTTCTGGGGTTTGTTTTTGGCTTTTACAATCAAGAATACAATGCAATTAGCCAAAGTTCTTGGGGGCAACTGAAACATGTGGGTAATAAAACGCAGAAATGCAAACTCTTGTTCTTCCCCAGAGCCCCCAGAACCAGCACTTTGTCTGTAAATGCCTTCTTAAAAGCCAAGCCCTGAGGTAACACCAAATGACTCAAAACAAACCCATGTCCCAAATGAATTCTCTCTTGCACTATGCAGTCAAGGAAACCCCARGGCTGGGCAGCCTTCAGATCTCTTTTAGTCCCACTCCCCATAGATCCTCAGGTAACAMTTCAATAATCCTAGTAGTGAGGAGTCCTTTTTAAAGCAAGTTCTACAAAGAAATTAAAAATGCATAATTCTCGCAGTGGTAAAAACTGAAGAGAAAGTGAAATGAGCTTGTGTGGAGAAGTCTTTTTGCTTAGCTTTCATGACACTTGGCTGAAGSTGTTAGTGATTCAAAAGAGGAAGCTGGGACTTGTGTAGAAAGTCTTAAGCTCAGAGATAGACAAGACCTTTTCCCAAAATCCATATACAACTGAAGGTTAAAATTTTTTCTTTTGGAACTATTATTATCATGGACTTGTCACGACCATGGCCCCTGTTTCCAATGCTTATTCTGCAATGAGAAATTTATTATTTTTACTGTTTCTAACCATCTCATACCCTTATTGGTACCATTTAATACTCCACAGATGCTGCCTTTCCTGGTTCAGGGAAACGCTCTTCTTCCAAAGAAAGGTCACAGGGCTTTTTCTTTTTTCCTTTTTTAACCTGCTCATGGCTGCAGAACTCCATGCCAGAAGAGATTAGAATAACAAAGCTCACAGGCTTCAGATCAAGCCATAGACTTCACTTTGCTGTAGTTCATCTTCCATCAATAACAATCAGCTGAAATTGGACAGAAAAATCAAAATCGTTACGAGGCTTTTTAGAATTCAAGAGGTGCAGACACCAGAGGGAAAATAATGGTAAAAGCAGAAAAGCAATTGCTAAAACACCTGGTCAATAAGCATAGAGAAAATCCCTATGGAAAGTATATATGGGAATAAATCCTATTGTTGGTAAGTAAAGAACAAAATTTGCTTCAGGAAAATATTTGAAATCAAATTTATGGATAGACTTTTGCATAAATGTGTGGCTAAAATGTGCATGGTTTATGGCAAGTATACAAATGAAAAGAAACTAAAAGAGGGAAGAAAGAATATTCTTGTAGTTTTAGTATCTCTCATTTCCACAATCGGTAAAGTGAAAGCCTTAGATGTTGGACACTTGAGATGCTTTTAAGATTAGATAATTTAGCTAAGAAACATTATTATAGSGAAAGCAATGGCATATGCTTATTATTAGATAATTACATTAGGAATGGTCTTTCAGGCAGAATGGGTTGTGTGAAATAGCCTTGCGTTTGTATAAAACCTTCAAGTCACAAGAGAAAAGAACAGCTTTACAAAATGAAAGAAAATGACCTAAATAGGAAGATCTTTAGAAGTTCCTGTAGGAGCTCAATATCCCTGTGGGGAAGAAAATTAAGATAACTCATAATTCTTTACTTGACTTCAAGCACTTCTTCAATGTGTCTGCATTTCTCAGAACCAATTTCTCTCCTATTTTAGCTTTGACTAAAGTACAATAAAGTCTCCGAAGTATAACATATTTAACTAAATAATTTCCACAATAAATTATTGCAAATAAACCCAACTGATTAGTATTTTAACTTTCAACCCTTTGTAAAAAAGTCACATTTAATTCTGTCTATTGTACTGAAGGAAAAGGGCTTTGCACCACAGGTTTTCAGAAGGTTTAGTTCAGGGTTCTTTTTGATGTCAGATTTATTAAAAAAAAATCTCTCCCAAACTAAAATTTATAAAAACAAACTGGAAAAGTTGTATTAAGTTTACTAAGGTAAAAATGTTTATAGCTGTTGCAGTTGTAAGACTATTACAAATTAGGAGGATGGGGGAATTAAAGTTTAAACAAAAGAGTAATTAATAATAATACTGTTTAACTGTTAATCTGATAATTGCACTTTTGCCAGTATCCTTTAAATTGCTCAAAATTTACAAAATTATCCAATTGTAGAAATTAAAAGTGATGTAAAAACTATCTTTGCCAATAGCTAAAAAGCTCATCTGTCTTACTTCTTGCCTTATTTATAAAGAGATAAATATATTTATAAATTCAGAAACAGATAAAAAATGGCATTTGCCAAAAAGAAGTCGGTATTCTCAAGATTCTGGATTTTCAAACTACTTTATTATTGCGCATGTGAGTGAAACCCACTGGATGTGGAAAGAACTGGGTACTGATACAAAGAACTTAGTGGAACACAGAGACTGGAAAAGCCTAACCAAATTTCCCTGTCACTGTATATATATATATATATATATATATATATATATGTCAAAATGTCTGAAGTTGCAACTTGCTCAGAGAAGACAGAAAATTAAGCAATGAATACTCTTAGTGACTCAGACAGGGAGCATTTCCTGCTCTTTTGTCTTATCTACAAGACCCCAACTCCAGTGTTTCTCCTGACATTTRCAGACAGAACATAACATCGGGCAGTTTCCGGTGAGGTGATATAATGGATTTAGTTRTAGTAGACAGAATTTCCTCATATGCATTACTCTAGTAATTTTTCTTGTAACACTCATGAAATACTTTGAGTTTTTATGAAACAAATAGGAAGTGAACATCCTGTCATACTACTGATGCTCTCACACCACGAATATGGCTGTAGAAATGGAAGCACTCATGGTGTAAAAGGAGTTAAAGTAAGTTGCAAAAAGGAAAATTTRAAGTCTTTCCAATGCAGATTCTTATTTAAATGATGATCAGTACTTCTCTGCAGTTCTAAGAGCATAGAACTGTTAGCCTTGAGAAAAATTAACCTTCACCCAGCTTTGTGCAGGCAAACTCATTAATAGCTACAAGAGTTTCTCTTGAGCAAGACCAAGCCAGAGCCTAATGTAGCAAACTGGAACTGTTACTCTTTGTGATCATTAATCTTTTAAAAACGAARAGATTATTTTTGTTGGGCTTTTTTACTTACCAGTGACATGTACCAATAATGCGAACAATCATCTAATATTAGGAAGGGCATAAATTTAAATATTGGGRAAAACTTCCCAGTTTGTCAGCAGTCTAAGAGGTGAGGATAGTGAGAGAAATTATCTTAATTTTAGTTRAGTAAAGGAATGTACCCCAATCACCAGCCCTCAGAAATATACAAATAATTAAGTGTTAACATAAACCTTCTTTCCTACTGCCTTATAACTCATGTCACAATTCTTACACCATGGTGTATTTACAGTACTACTGAGTTACAAATTACCCGTGTTCTTATGAAGGCCTGACGAGTGATGAACATTTTAATTACAATTAGAGCACCAGCTACAACACCTAATGACAAACATGTGACTTATTGTTTGCTCCACAATGTCACTGCACTCTGGGCATGATAAAATATGGGATAATGGGAATTTTCTATCCTGCATGTTTTTATAAAATTTTAATAGAAAAACCCAATTTTGACTGTACTGAGAAACTGTGAGTGACAGAAGCGTTAAAACCACGGGATCTCCGGAGTACACAGGGCCAGCGCAACGAGGCTTCTCAGAGCCATGTCCCTCGTATCCCGGTTATCCCCAAGCACAGGGAAGCCKCAGCCTGGCTGAGCAGCCCGTTCCCGTGCTCAGTTACTCTCACCTTAACGCTGTTAACTAACAAATGACTGATTTCTTCTCTTTTCAGCGTCGTGAAGGGCCCGCGCGTCAGGCGGCCGGGGATGCTGCGGCCGCTGCCAACCGACCTGCACCGCTCGTCCTGCGCCAGGGGCAACCGCCGGCCGCACTCCACGGTCCCGCTTCCCGCCGTGCTGCGATTCCCGGGAATGCCGTGAGGGCGGATCCCGGCCCGCAGGTCCCGCCCCGTGACGCCGGTTGCCATAGCGGCCGCGCCGCCGGCCATGGCGGCCGAGGAGGAGGACGATGTGGAGTGGGTGGTGGACACGATCGCCGGCTTCCTGCGGGGGCCCGCCTGGTCCATCCCCATCCTGGAGTTCATGGAGCACAACTGCGAGGGTGAGCGGGGGCGCCGGCCGGGAAGGGCGGGCAGGGCCGGGCAGGGCGGGTCCGGGTCCGGGTCCCCACCGCCGGGGGCCTGTCTCGGGTCCGGGTGTCCCTCGGGCCCCGGGTTTGTGCAGGAATGCTCCCTCGGCCCGTCCGGCTGCGCTCCCCGCCCAGCGCTGCCCGGTGCCCGCCGTGTCCCCCGAGCGAGCCGCGTGTCAGGACGTGCCATTTGCATTCATTAGCTCGTCCTGGGATTATGGCATGATCTTATGGCTGACACCGAGCGAGCGCTGCACCCTGCCGCGCCTCGGACCCCGGCACGGCCTCCAAAGCTCTCCCAGAGCCAGGAGTTTTCCTTAGGAAACTGGGYAGGACAACCGAAAGCGCCGTCTGGTTAGTGGGACAGAGGAGGAGAAGGCCCAAAGTTAAATTCCTAAAATTATGTGAATGGTGTCAGTTAAGAGGTGAAAACSACTAAGTTTTAGTACCCCACAAAAATGATAACACTAAAAGTCAGTGATTACCAGTGATGTTTTGTTGTTCGTGAGTTTAGCACCATATTGACTCCAGTTAAACTAACATGTCTTCCTATTCTTCAGACAAGGCATAATTTAGGGAGCAGTTTGGGTAAAGTGGAAGTACAGGCAATGAGGGGGGGCAGGATTGCTCTGTAGCCAGGAGAGGTCTGTGCAGGTTTGTATCTGCAGAGAGGGAAGGAGGAAATAGACTTTCTGATGTAGAGATTTAACTAAATTGCTTCTGCTGCTTACAGAACAATTTCTGCTGCCAAAAAAAGCACCTGGATCCTTACGGTAGTAAAGTAATTACAATTTGGGCAAGTCTGAAAGCAGTGCCTAAGCCCTTTGGAAAACTAAGACAGCTTTTATTTGTGATTCTTGAAAAGAAATTGCCTCTCAGTTTCTCCCTGAATCGTCTCTACCCCCCAAACTTTGCATGAGGTACGATCATTGTGGGTCTTTTCCCACCTTTCCCRCTTAAAACTGGGAAAAGAGGAAGGGAAAGCTCCTAGGGCCTTCTTAGCTAGGAATGGTTAAAGAAACATAGACAGGAAGTTTTCTTCTGGGAAGTCTGCCTAAACTTGGGATGGGCCAAACATTCTAGCTATCATACAAAGGGTCTAGGTTTACATATCAAGGGAATTGATTTATCCCTCTCAGGAGCAATGATCCCTTCTCCTTAGAAGGTTGAGGGGAATTTACTGACAGTAAGAAGATTTGTGGAACCGCTGTAAATTTCCACGTAGTGTGAGGCAGCCTTGTGATGGTCACTTCCTACTGTGCTGATTCCATTGCTGCTTTTGTACTGACATACTTCGTCAGGACAGAGTCCTTTGCATTCCCAAAACATTCAGTGTTTGGGCTGGACAAGCAAATTAGCAGCACTGTGATTAACTGACAATAATTWGTGATTCCTCGAAAATACAATTTGGATCTTGATAATTGGTATGTAACGAATTTATTTTGGAACTGTAGTTACTTAGGCCAAGTCCTTGCACTTCAACTTGTAAACTATTTTAATGATTTTCTATCTGTTGGTAATTGCTTTCTCTCTCTYCCTCTTTCTGGAAACTTGATTAATTTCTTATGGCCTGATTAATTTCCTTCTGTGTGAAAATGAAATCGAACAGGTGAGTGTGTATCATCCCATTTGAGGGGTCCTAGCCAAGATTTCCAGTTTTAACAGGAAAACAATGAGTTTGTTTCCCAAGATATCTGGGTYCTCTCGTTTTGGTACTGTGGTTCTTCAGATCTTTGTTCTTGCTGGGTGACCAAAGACTGTGCCAAAACCTTAAGGAATAATGACTACGTGATTCAGGAGCCCTGACTCAAGAAAATCCAAGGTCTCTGTTCCAAGTACTCCTTAAAGCCACTTAAGCTGGGAGGAGATGCTGATTGCAGCTTGCTTTACTTGGCACTGAACTTCATCCCATTGTGTGTCCTGAGCCTGGGGACACAGCACAGTGTGTGCCTCYTTCCGGAGGAGGAGGAACATCCCCTTGGCAGTACAAGGCCATCTGTCACTGAGGGGTGACATCCCTGTGTCACTCCTGCTTAGGATCCCCAGGACAGGATGGGTGGGAAAGAGGGGATAGAGAAGCCAAGGTGAAAGTGGRCTCTGCAGCCCAGTTGGGATCTCCAGTCAGGAAGAGACAACAGAGGYTGTCAAGGGTCTTCACCCTCCTGAGTCTGGCAATATGGTAGTTGCCATAGGACTGATATTTATAATATTTTTCCTACCATTTGAATTTAATCCTAGGTATTTGCAAACCTTATATTTTAATTACTTATAAAAAAAAATTTGCCTTATGCAAAGACCACAAGCAATGTTGGTTTTCCCAATTATGATTAAAAAGCAGGTTCTCCTWTGCTTTTGGGGGCCCTGCACTGTGTCATTGGGTATCTATCATTTTACTGCAGTGAGGTGTTAGAAAGGGATGCAAATACCTCCTGCTTTAGGAAATGCCACCTCAGCTCACACTGTGTCCAGGTTTGGAGTGACATGGCCTCAGGGCTGTCACAGCTGGGAAAGATGTCAGACGCCTTCAGAAAGTCACTCTAAATTTGTGTGAAGGCTGCACTGATTCCACGGGCATCACCACCATTAGAGRTGTCACATATACACAAAGAATAAATCACAGTCCTTCACCAGTTTAAGCAGAATTCCCATTCTTCAAGTGACTTCAAAGGATGTTCCTGGGAAGTGACTTGTCCAAGTGGTTAATCTTGAAGGGGATTGAGACAGACTTATTTCTAAGCCTCTGCTTTAATTGCCAGGTTTTACATTACCTCTTCACTGGTGGCATAAAAAAAATGTAAATTAACCCTGTCAAACCTTAGTTTTCAGTTTCTCTTATTTTCTGCTTCTTCCATCTGTTCTGCAGCATAGAGATCATGAGCTTGAGTAGTTCCAGTCAGGAATTTGAATATGAATTTACATGAATATGATTAATATGGCCCATAGTATAGGAATGTCCATTTTTTTCTAAATCAGGATAGATATGATTAAAATATAACTTAACTGAACCACATTTCCTCTTTGGGTTTATCTGGTTTTATGCAGGCAGGGACTAATTTTCCTGCATCACCTTGGCTTCTCACTACATGAATGACATTTTAAAAAAATGGTTTAAGTCATTATTAGATWCGTACTCCATGTAAATACATGGAGAGTGAGAAATTTCCTGCTTGATGTATTATCTGCCACTTGGAACAATATGTGGTAGTTCTTATATTAAAACTCATGTTTTAGTGACTGTATCTGCTGAATCCTCAACTTGCTTACAAGTCTATTACAAAGATTTTCCCAATATGAAATTATGCACTTTAATTACTTTCAATTACCGAAAACATACACTTGGCCTGAGTGTGTGGAAAACACAGGACTGTTATAAATCGTGTCCTGTATTTTCATATGATTAAATATATTACCTTGTAAAGGTTAATCTTTTTATTTAGGGCATAAGTTCATTTGTGGTGGTTTGTACACTGACTACAAAATGTTTCTTCTTCCCCCCTTCAGTTTTTGATGATGAAGAAGAAAGCAAGTTGTCTTACACAGAAATTTATCAAGAGTACCAAGCTCTGGTGAGCATTATTCACTATTTGTAGTAAATTTCTAAGACAAACAATTTAAAATCTTAAATTAGTATTTAGTGGAACTTCTGATCAGGATATGTTTATTTAGAAYTTTTCCAGGTGTTATTTAGAAACCCTGTGAGTTGTAGTTGTCATATGTTTTTTATACCTAAAGACTAGGTACATAGAAAAGAAATTGTAACAGAGTCATAGCTCTTAGGCTGTGTTACATATTTTTCATTAAAATTAATATATCCACTACCTTCAACACTGTATTGATAAGCTTGATAATATTATTTKCTGTCAAGTTAAAATGACAACCAGCGGGTTGCCTAAAAACACTCACAACTGTATTTTGTTTACTAATGTATCTGGAAGTCTTCTGAATTGCCTTTCAATTAATGGAAAAAACTACAGGAGATTTTTGGAGCTTAAATACCTATAAAACAATACATGCAGATTTCTAACACGCTCTTTCTGTAATGAGGCTTGGGAATACATGATATTAAAAAGCTTTGATTGAGTAAATATAAACCAACATCCATTTCTGCTCTGACCCTAAAGGCTTTCAGGAACAGACTGGCAAAAACCCTTTTACTTACATCAAAAACCCATGAGGAATACTAGTCAGGAGTTTGGAGAAAAGGTACACAAGAGATTCTTGGAAATTGGAAAAGATAAATTAAGGAGTAATCATCTTTAGCAATAAAAATGCTCCTTCTGAACATTTCATGAAAGCAAATAAAGCCTGACATCAGAAAAATCAGTTATRCTATTATAATGATTTTCCTTTGAGTTGAAAAATCACAATGTCAGCAGAAAGGAATAGATAATCATGACAAAAATTTCTGTGATTCTCAGGGGAAAACCTTAGAAGGCTTCACTTTCTTACAGGTGGAGAGATTACTAGAGGACTACCTTAAAGAAGTTGGAATTAATGAGGAGAAATTTCAAGAAGCTTTTTCTTCTCCTCTTGCAAAGACTCACACCTCACAGGTATTTGCCTTCATTAAAGAATATATGCATTTTAATTCTTAGCTTTATGTTTCCAGTAACACAGCTGGCAGGACACAAAACTTGGAAAAGTTTTCATGTTGAAACTAATTTTCTATTGAACTGCAGCTGTAAACTTGCCCTGGGAAACCCAGTTTTGTCATAATATAATAATATTGTCATAATATTTTTGTAGCCATATTGATCTAAAGACAAGTTATTTTCCTGGCTTTGAGATCTTCTTGTATATCTGGAAAAATAGACAGATAGGAGAATGAAATATAATTATTAAAAACAACGCTCCTCAGAACTGAAAAATCAAGTTAATTTCAAACAGACTGAGCAGGTTAGGATTTCTGTGGGGGTTTAATTTTGTCCATATCTTTCCTCCCACAGGCCATTCTGCAAACAGTGTTGGCAGCAGAAGATTTTAGATTATTTAAAAAAATGATGGTACAGAAAAATATTGAAATGCAACTGCAAGCGATTCGAATCATCAAAGAAAGAAATGGTGAGAAGTGGTGAATGTGGGGATTCACTGCAGGTTTACAGTGTTCTTCTGATGACTCTTCAAGCCATTCATAAATGAGTGTGGAATGCTGGTTCTGTTCCAATTCAAATTACTGGAAAACATGCAGTTGATGTTACTGGGACAAGGATTTCATTACTTAGTCCTTAGCTTGCATTCTCAGTGATGGCTGTCTGTATTTTAAAGTTAACAGATTTTTCAGGTCTGTTTGTCTAAATTTCTCTGTGAAACTTACTTTTCTGTTGCAKAATTTTGGTGMCAATTCYGAGTTAAAGCAGTGAGAGCAGTTYTTCAAACATGGCAATATCTGTAGTTGGAATTCTGCTTCTTGCTTGGCAAAGATGCTGTAGTGTCTGCTGTGCTTACTCTGCAGTTCACACTGAAAAATCCTTACAGAAAGCAGAAGTCAAGGCCTTCAGCATGCAGGAAAAAGAGGAGAGAAAATAATCCAACTTTGCTTCTCTGGTGATGGCTCTGAAAGGATTTTAATCCCACTCCTTTCTTCCATATCTTCAGTTTTAACCATTTTGTTTTATCTTCTTACTGCATGTGTGTTTTTTAGAGAATAATTTTTAAATTTCACCTTTCATATAACAGCTAAATTTGGGAGTGGTTCAGTTGGCCATGACTGAATTGCAGCCTACAGGAAATACACATAATGGTCAATACAGAGTTTGGTTTAACCTTAGATGTCAAAACTTTAATTGCCAGAAACCTTTGTCTTTTTTTCTACCAGAMTYTAGGACCTTTTCCTCTAGGATCTAGGACCTTTGTGGAAACAGTTTCAGAGGAAGAATTATATGTCTTTGGTTTTGGAAATGTGATTTTCTTGTGTTTGGGGTTTTTAAAAATTTTCTTTGCCAGTTGGAGCACAAAATCATTTTATTCAGAGTAATGCATAAATCGTGCTGCTTTATTCCAGGTGTGTTGCCTGAGTGTTTGACAGAAGGTTCTGATGTATTCAGTGAAATTGAAGAAGAAGAAATGAAAATACTCAGAGAGGTTCTAAGGTAAGACATAAATCAGTCCCAGTTGTAATGTTACTGTAAAATAAAAGTCTGTAGGACCTAACTCTTCCAGCCTTTTCCAGGAAAATGCCTTCATTTTAAGATGACAGCAATCTTCTTGTGAACATCCACCTGAGAGAAAATGGGTGGTGCTAGGCAATGGGTGTGCTCAGGAATATCTAAATAGTGAGAACTGTTGCACCAGTGCTTGTTGCTGTGATCTCAGATGCGTGAGATCAATACACCTTCTACAGATTCTCCCCCACTCCCAGTTCACAAACACAGAAATAAAGAATATCAGATTAATCCATCCAGGTTATAKTAGATAATGCTATTTTCCCTTTGTATTCTGGAAATATTTCCCTTCCTGTCTTTAAATTAGCAAACTAAATAAAGGGATAGATAAGCCCTGGAAATTTGTATACAGTTATTTTTGCACACAGATAGTTGAGGACAGTGGGCTCTGTGTGCATATCCCAATTGTTTATTTCTATTAAACATGCATTTTCATTTAAGTCATGGAAATATTTTCGATACTGACAAATTCACATACCCTTGTAATTGCATTGATAGTCCTCAAGTATTTAAGCAGTGTTAAATTTCCCTTAAAACCTCTAATAATAAAGGAGTTTTGAGTATTTACTTGTGTTTGGTCTTGCAGAAAATCTAAGGAAGAATATGAAATAGAGCAAGAGAGAAAGAAGACTGAAGAAGTGAGTATCTTACCTTTGCATGTGAGTTATGGGGACAATTAAATCCCCTGACATTCCTGTCCTGGCTGTGCTTGGATCCCTTCAAGGCCGTGTATTCCATCAATGCGTGTATCCCACAATCTGCATATTCCCTCCTCAGCACCTGAATCCTGAAATGCTGTAAGGGGTGTCAACCTTTCAGATCCAGAGAGCAGCTGAATTACTGATATTGTCAGGATCAGAGAGACTTCAAAGTGTAAGCTRCTTGGAGATGACAGCACTCATAATCCTGCAGGAATTACCTTCAAGATCACTTGATAGACAGTGTAGTTATTCATTAAGCATTCACAATACAGAACTAATCACCAGGACTCAGAAATCCTCTCCAAGAGAACATGCCTTGGTGTCCATCAGACTAAAGAACAGAGAAAGGAAACCGAACGTAAATGGGGGCTGGCCAAATTGTGGAATCATGGCAATAAACCTCCCTTGATTGGGGAAAGAGACAGGTTTATCCAAATCTTTATAGACCAGCCAAAAAAATCAATATTCTTGATAAACAAACCAGATTGCAGAGGCAGGCCCCAGTCAAGTTCACCTGGACAGAGAATGTGATAATGTTGAATGATAGATTTTTTGTTAAGAGAATGTTCTAACACAAAATAATTCAGTATTTTAATGAATGCTCTGGGGTTCTGACATGAATTGCATGGTTGATCAACAGCACAGACAATTTCTGGTCAGAAATTTTGAGAAATGCATTGCATTGTATGGAGTGTAAACAACACAGTTTTAACTGAAAGTTCTTTTGGGAGCTTCCTTTGTGTGGACACTTCAGTGTCTGAGGTACAGCGCCAGGAAATGTAACACTTGTGTTTATTTGTTTTCTAATTCAAGGCACGTGCTAAACTCAAAGCTCCCGATGTTTCCCACAATTTTCCAGGAGATTCGAGAGAAACTGTAAAAGTTAAAGAATCCACTGAGGGAGCTGAGGATTCTGAAGAAACTCCAAAATGCCCACTAGGTAATTCTAGAGGGAGTACAATGCTGAGTGTCCAACATCATGCTGTTTTTAAATCATCCAAGAGTCAACTCATATCAAGATTTTAAGAACTTGGATTAGGCTGTGAGTAAAGTGTGTTTGCATGAGGTGCTTTGTAGGAATGCCTTCCAACATGGGATGTTTGACTATTCCATGATTCCAAGTGCTGTTTTATTACTTTTATCTGACATATTTCTATTCTTTCTGACTGTTTTCTATGTAAAATTACTTAGAGGGATCTCATAAATCGACAAAAGAAGACCCCAAACCAGTTTGCCCCGTACAAAAGGGAACTGAAAACTTACCTCAGCCYTCTTGTACCAAGGGGAAAGAAGACACTAAGAAAATGCCAGCTGGAAAAAGTTCAGAAAACACAGTGCAAAAAGCTGGGGCAAAAGGACCTGTAAGTCAAAAACAAATAAGAAGAAAAGCCAAACACAGAACTAGAACGTAAAAAGAGRGGATTAAATGTAAAATATATATTTAAAACAGTATTATATTTAAATACAGTTTTTCTGTTATTTTAATCAGGTGGGTTTGGGTTATTTTGTTTTCTTTTTAAACTAACATATAAACACCCTTTCATGTTATTCAGAGTTTTATCAGAACAAAGTTCAGCTCATGATTTCTGGTTTCAGAGTAGAATTCAGCATTCAGCTTTTGTCTTGTCCTAATTTCTTAGGAGACAGCTTTGACTTGAAGCCTCAACTTGGATTATTTTCACCTGGTAATTTGGGRGGCAAATAGGATGTAAATGTGCTTTTCTTGCACAGGACATTAATACAAAAAGTTAATTTCAAAATTTAATTTTTTTCCCCACAGAATTTATCAGAAACTGAAAAGCAACAGCTGAAGCAACGGGAGGATTATCTAAAGAAAAAACGAGACCTGCTACTGGCTACAAAGAAAGAGTCAAAAAATAGTGTTCCACCACCAACAACAAACAGTGACCAGAAAGAGGAGGAATCACCTCCCAAACAGGTGACGGACTCAACACTTTTCATTGTATAAAACCACAGATGGTTTCAGTGCARGTGTCCATGTTGCTGCTGAAGAGGGAGAGTGGGTTAAAAAGAGTAAGGGGGAAAGTATTTCCAAGTTACTAGTTTTGCAGAAACTTATGGCTGAAAGTTTGAGTGATKAAGTTGGCATTGGTTTGCTTCAGCAGCATCAAACTGTCATGATGAATTTAAGTATATGAAAGGATAAAAGGCCAGTTTGCTCTTAGTCTGTGAGCCCTACTGTTTGGGCTCCTCAAATCTCAGGGATTTTCTTTTTCAAATGCTTAAAAACTCAAAAACAGAGGAAGATACCAGAAGACCTTAAAACTGTGATACATTACAAAACAAAATAATAACTGTTCTGTTTCAAAGACAAAAATCATTACTCTCCTTTATAGAGCAAGTACTTAAGGGTATTGACTTAAGTCCAAAGACTTTCTATTGCCTCMAGTATTTTTCAGAGCTGCTGAGCTTTTTATTACGCTCCAAAGGTGCCCAAAATCCTGGTGACTGGGGAGCCAGCAGGACAATCGCTCAGCAGGATCTGAAGTTGAGGCTCGGAAAACATGGATCAGGGCAGTGGGAGAGAGCAGGGTGGTGGCAGAACACAATCCACCCCTGTGGTCGATGGTGGGGGCTGCTGCTTGCCAGGGAAGCTGCTCATTGCAGTGTTGTTTTCACCCTGTTTTTAGGAAATGTCAGAAGAGAAGCAAAGGCTGCTCCAGAAGAGGAAGATGCTTGCAGAAAAGCTAAAAGAAGAAGTTATTAATAAACGGTAGTTTTAAGAGGCTCCTTCCAGACCCCAAGAACAGAAGGATGTTTTAGCATACATTATCAGTAAGTGAAAGGACTTCCAATTTTGCACTTGGATTTATAGAAGATTCAGACAAGCAGCTCGGTACCTGGTAACTCCCTATTGCACATGACACTGAAACACCACAAAGACTCATTTGCCAGAGTGCTGGAAACTCCCTGGTGTTCTGCAGCAAGGCCATGACATCGCTGCAGAGCACAGCCCTGAGCCTGGAGAGCGGAGGCAGAGATGGGGAGCAGGGAAAGGAATTCCTGTGCTAAATACTTTTTCATTTTAACAGTGCAGAACTTGGTTCCATTTATTAGCCCATTATAAACAAATCGCTCTTTTTCAGCTGTTCAGTGTAATAAAGTCTGAATCACAAGGAAGTGCACCCTTGACCAGCTCATTTTTGAGAAAGCCAACGTGCCTTGGGAGTCAAGACATTCACAAATTAACTCCAGGTTACAGTGTTTTACAGACTTTTGGGGCAGTTTCCCAGTCCCCAGGTCCAAGTTTGCTCTAAATGCAACTTCAAGTCCAAGGAGTTGCTTTAGTGCAAAGCTGAGGCTGTTCCCAGCAATTCACTGCCAGAGTAGCAGAAATCTTTTGAAATCCTTTACTGGTTTGGCTTTGCCAGACTCAGAAAGAAGCCAGGAGAGGTCCCCCTTTGCCCATGGCATGACCTCACTGACTGCCACAGCAACTCTCAGGAGAAGAGAYAAACRCATCCATTCAAGTTTCACGGAATTTTTGTTAAAACAACTATTACAAACAATACATTTTACTACAGAGTCATTTAATTCCTAAGTTYTACAGTTTCAATATGTTAATACTTWAAACGTCTTTACAAAAAGTCTAAAACAAGTMCAGGGGGAACTAGAATACTGCTGCCCTCTGGGAAAGAAAACCAAGGAGCAGCCCTGCAGTGGCAGCACCCAGAGCTGGAGCTGCTGCTGAACTCACCACTGATGAATTCACACATCTGAGTTGAGCAGGTTGTACCCAGTTCCATTACCCAACAGAGCATTGATAACTGGTTCAAAGAGGTTTCCCTGGATGGTGTAATGCTTATAAAATTCATCTTTCAGGCCARTTATCTTCCTCATAAAGTGAGGAGCACCTGTATGAAAAATAAATTGAAAACTGGAGCCAGGGCTCCAATCTGCTTCTCATGGAAAGAACTGAAACACCTGGTGTTACCAAGAGGATGATGCACCCCCAAACAAAGGTCTCATTCACATTCATTTACATGAATTACAAGCTCAGGTGTACACTGGAACACCTCCCACACTCTGCACATCAAGCCTGGAAGAAGCAAATCAYRACAGCTCCATACTCAAGGCCAAAAATGTGTGTTTTGAATTCATCAAGACCAGGGTTCTTCTAAGCTTCGTCTCAGCCTCAAGACTCTTCAACAGCAGTTTCCCACAAGCACATTCCCAACTGGCWTCACAGGCTGAGCCCTGGGACCAACTCTGTCGACAAAGTCACTGCCAAACACCACAGACCTGAAAGGGGGAAAAAAWTAAAAATCATCCTTAATTAGTTCACAGCTGTGCTCTGAGGCACTGGCCAGAAGGAGCACAGTGAGAACAGAAACACAGCAGAAATCCAGGAATGCAAATATTTGTGAATCCTAAGAGGAAAAATCATTCCGCACTGGCATTCATTTACAGTAATGCTGTAATTAAAATGTAATTCATATTACGTTTYAAATAACAGGAGGAGTAACAGAAGAAACAGCCTACAAAGAATTCTACTGGCTCCTTTTGTATTTTYTTACATCAGCTGTGACCAGCAGATTCCCTGGATTGAGCACAGTACATCCAGTACATCCATTAACTGATTAGCTCCTCCARATTCAGAATCAAGATGGCACAATCAGCTCAATGATGAGAGAGACATCCTGAAAAAAAAAAATACCCCAAGGAAAACACAAGATAATTAGTTACAAGAGTATGGATTCCCTAGTTTCTATAACTTTAAAAAAAGCCCTAAAAATTGAAAAGAATTAAAAAGAAAATGGAGATCTTATTTGGCTAGTTTGTTTCCTGGCTACCCTAAGATTGGCATATTCAACAAAACCCAAACCACTTTTACTCACATGGTCACTCTGCTGGACAAAAGTCTTCTAGAGTTGGCAATAGATGTGTGGCAGCAGATCTAACCTGCAGTTGATCCATTCCCTCATAAGTAAGAGATCCCTTTTTCAGAGTAAGTCAACTTTGGTGTTTATTGTCAAGTAGAGCTGTAAAGAAATGGAGTTAAAAGTTTTGGGAATGTTTGATTACAAAGTTTCTATGAGAAACGCAATAATTACATTACAGAAAAACAACAGAAACCAGCAACATTTTCCCCCACTCTTTCCTTCCTTTGGAAAGGAGACAAAGCTTTCTGTGGGTTGAACAGCCCTAATTTAGGCAAGAAACATTTACCTTGTGCTACTTGCCAGAATATCTGAAACTGATCTGTATCTGTTACCCACAATTTAYTCATTTTGGACTAAATGACCAACAGAACAAATTAATTTATACAAAACTCTCTGTGTTCATTTACATGCAACGGGAATCAGGAACTTTTCCAAAGAAATGTGATTTCCTTTGAGGAAAGAACAACTTTTCAGCCTAACACAGTAACACATCAGAACACGTTTGGACTGGGCTAGTCCTGGAACAGAATAATAGGATTAAGGCTGATCTGATCACTGAACATCTCTACAGGACTTCAATTTGGTTTTCCTTGCAGTTCACATCCCTTGGTCAGTTCATAGGTAGTTACTCCAGCACAGAAACTCCCCGGAATTTCATGTTTCTGAGGAACAGCAGCATCAAAATGCAGTGCAATGGTGAGGCAGCAACAGCTGCTTCAACCACAGGAGTAAAAAGAAATTCTGTTTTCCCACTACTGATTAGGACAGATTAATCTGCTAACGACAGGATTACAGGATCTTTCAGGATCTTTCAGCCAACAGTTCAAGATTATCTAAAAATACTTCTCTGGCTCTGGGCCAGCAACAACCACAACAATCCAGTTGCCACAGAACAGAGAGTCTCTTCCAGTTTTGACCCCCACTTGTCCCAAGGAGTGCACTGACTACAGGCTCACACAGAGTGAGTAAAAATGCCCAGAGCAGCCAGATCAGGCACTTCAGAGGGGCAGCCCTTGCATTAGGAATATTCCCATCAATTCCCAGTCAGCACAGCACAACTGACACAGGGGAGMTCAGCAGAGGCAAAACTGCTTTAATGGCTGTGGGTCGTCTACTTGCATTAAAATGAGCTTTATTTTTAACTCACCATTACGATTTCAAGAGCTGGAAGAATTCCCAGTTTTGCCAAAGTTTTGAAAAATTGAACTCTCTCCTAACGTAACAGGAGGGAAAAGGCATAGAATTCCTTAAAAAAGTTCACCAGTTGCATAGGAAAAAAATAATTACAAGTGTATTTGGGTCAGAAAACTCTCTGAAAGGAGGAAAGAGTTAGATTTCACAGTAGATTTTGGGTGCTGCTGCTATGRACCTTCCTCGAAAATGGTATTCCTTCCTGACTGATTATTAGGATTGGTTCCTTCCAGCAACAGGACTTCAGAAGTGCCTGAACAGACATTAAACCCAGTGTATGGAAAGACTAACACATCTCAATTGCCCAGGTTGTCCAAGGGAGCTGCTGGAAATCTGAGCTCTCTGGTTCTTTAGTTCATGGCTTTATGCTCTGCTGTGTCAGAGTCTGGGAAGATTCTGAYGATTCCCATGGGAAAGTGTTTCTTCTTTTAAGGATAGAGCTCCATTGCCTTGCTGGTCCCAGAKTTGCMAGTATAAAATCTAAACTGCTTCYTAACAAAAMAMCAAARATCAAAATATTCCTAAAACAYGAGTCAGTTAGATTTGATTGGACAGTTGGGGACACACTCAGCACTGCCACCTCCTTGCCTCTCCCAGACACATCCAGTTCCTCATACCTCTGCAGTTCCACTGCATTCCAAMAAGCTGCTTCCTGAGGCCAGCTGGAGAAGGACAATTAAAACATGGAATTCTGAAAGTCCCTTTTTTAATAAACACAAACACCATCCCAAAACACAAAAACACCGAGTCTCACCATTACAGTGATTTTTTCAAAAGCCTGACATTCAAYCATGGAAACAACTGGTGTTCMAAGTAGGGCTAATTTAAGATCTTACACAGAAAAGCTACAGAAAGAAACAACAACTATTTGCTTACTTTACAAAAAGATTTTAAAAGGGTGCATAAATACATCAAGTCACACAAGACACTAAAATACCTGGAGCAAAAACAGGTCCTTTCATGTTAACTGTACTTGGCAATTTTTTTCCCCAATTTCATCACAGCTAACTTTTTCTCAGTGCTAAATCATAGGTCTCTGCTTCTGACCAAACAATCAGGGTGTCCTCTTTGAGATAAAACCAAGAAAATAATTGTTTCTGAAACAGCTCTGCACTGCTAATCAATCTCTATTCTCTTACCACATATGCATAGAAGAAGTGTACTAAATCACCAGTCATAAGGGACACCATGCTTCTTTGGAGCTATTTTCTGAGCACTGCCTCACACTGAATATATTTAAACATGTTTTCCCCATACCTGAAGCACACTAGCAAGAWCAGAAGGATGTTTTAGCATAAGTTATCAGTAAGTGAAGGGATTTCCAGTTTTGCACTTGGATTTATARAAGATTCAGACAAGCARCTCGGTACCTGGTAACTCCCTATTACACATGACACAGAAACACCACGAAGACTCATTTGCCAGAGTGCTGGAAACTCCCTGATGTTGTTCTGCAGCGAGGCMRTGACATCGCTGCAGAGCACAGCCCTGCTGTGACTCAGAAAGAAGCCAGGAGAGGTCACCCTTTGCCCGTGGCATGACATCACTGACTGCCACAGCAACTCTCAGGAGAAGAGACAAACCCACCCAYTCAAGTTTCATGGAATTTTATTACAATAGCATTTATAACTGGTACACGTTGGCAGATGTTCTGTTCTTTCCCAAAAAAGTAGCAGTGGAAGGAGCCCAGGCAAAACAAACATGGTTGCCCACAAGAGCACCGAGGGTGACAGCCCCAGCATTGGGTGGGTGTCACCTTTTCCCAGCATTGCAGGTTGGTGTTTAACTGGGCATCTAATGCCACTTCACTCAGTCCTCTCCTAGTAACTATAAAAATTCATTACATTCTTGGTTTTGCTGAAAACAATCTCCTGTTTGTCTGAGTGTGTTTTTAAAGCTCCTGCCAGTAGTGCAGCCAGGCATTGGGCTGGTGAGGATCAGAGCAAGGACTGACACTCTGGAATCCTGTGGAGAACACGGCTTGGGAGGCTGTGAAGGAGAATTGGGAACGTGGGTCAATGCTCCAGGTGACGCCACTTCTCCTCAGGTGAGTGAAGGCACATCCCAGGTAACTACTGCTCTGTGAATCATCTTTACTGATGGAGAGAAAAGACTCACGGGAAAGCAAAGCAGCCTGTGAGCCAGCACATGGAGATGATGCTCCAGCTCCCCTTTACTGGCAAACACTTCCTTGGAATGGGGTATTCCTGTGCTGGGTGGCCTGGAGCTCTCCAAGGACAAMACCACTGTTCCCAGGTCCATTTGAACACTTGTGTCTTGCTCATGTGTCGGAAAGAGCTCACACATTCCTTCTGGCATTCCATCCAGTGATATGGAGTTATTCTGAAATCCACATGGATAACTAACCTTAAACAATATMCTACAACAGCCACATTGAAAATTCTGAGTTCACTGCCCATGTGTAACAAACCAAACAAAAACAATAATTATGGAATTACAGGGTCACATTTTAATTCCTGAATTTTACAGTTCAGCATTAATATCACCACATGTATACAAATGGTGTAAAACAAGTACAGTGGTATCTTTAATACAAAATAAACTTCTGTTTTATGGAAAAAACTATACTTCATATCTACACAGACAGCCCATCTTTTTCCAAACAAGAGCTAAAATTAAAACTAACTACAAAAATCTCCAAACAGAGAAACTGCTTCAGTTTAAACTATTCCAGGAGAAATGGACCCATAACACATATTACAAGAGTGATCTATGTGGTGGATTGYAGCTGGTTCCATCTTTTAACATCTCTGACACACAGTCGCTGGGAAATCTCTCACTTCATCATGATCTCAGATCACATATGGGCAAACTAACATGAAAATATTTACAGTTCACGTGCTGCTCTTGAAAATAAAACCTTGAMTGTTTGCCTCTATCACCTTGCCATGAACTCAACCTATTTCTGTCACAGTTCACTCACTGTATGTGGAATGTGCTTTTGTTTTTAAAAAAAGCAGCTTTTGTACCATCCCCAGGTTTAGGCGCTGCTTATGGATTCCACCTCCAAGCCCTCAAGGTGTTCTGCTGCCAACAATCCCATCTTGGTCCAAACTGACTTTGGTGTTAAAATGCTGCTCAGTCCATCGCTGTGARAAACCTTCTTACTCCCACCTCAACCATGCAATTTCAGCTCCCAAAGAGGGAAACGGCTCTTCCCAACYTAAAGGCAAAAGCTGTGGGATGTGCCGTGTACAGCCCCACTGTGACACTAGCAGCTCCTGGAGACCCTTGGGAAGCCACTGCTCCTTGGCATAGATATTTCTGGACGTCTCACTGACAAAACAAGCAAAATCTTCCATTTTGAATCCAGCTTCCATTCTCTCCTCTTGGAAAATACAAATTAAAACTTTTTTWAACAGTTTTAAACAACTCAACATGCACTGTAACTGCAGCGTCCCTCCCTCCAACCATGAGAAATGCAGTTTAGTTGGTAATAAATGGTCCCAAAATATGGATTGTTCTTATGCAAACAGAGTTAGTTTTCCCTTAAAATTTTTTTTTAAAAGAGGAATTGCTAAAAGAACACAACTGACAGCACCATTACAAAATTAAGATTACTGGGTTCAAAATTTAGGCTTGACCTTTTYTTTTGTTTTTCCTAGTTCTGTTAAACACTGGGGAAACCCTGCAATATTTTTAAAAAAGTGTTACCATACCTTTCCCTCCCCCTTTCCCTCCCAACACCTGAGACTTTCCTTGCTGAGAAGCCATCATCCAGGTTCTGAGAATACTAACCCACTTTTTTTTTTTTTTAATTTTTCATTTTTTGACAGCCTGAATGCCAGACTCCTTACTTTCTAGAAAGACATTAAGTTCCTTGGAAGCTTCGTGTTTACAGAACTAACCCTTTCTAGCTGATACACCGAGTTTCTTTTGCTACTCCTTGTATTATCTTATATACTCATGGGAGAAARCTTTCTGAATCAGATTCTTTTTAGCTCTTGAAACAGCTGCAGCATTTGAAACCCCGTAATGAAAGTTCTTATTCCAAAGTTTTGGTTTCTTTTATGAACCCAGACGAGGTCTTTTCCTTGGAGATGTCTCCTCCTCTTCATCATCATCTTCATCATCGGGATAATCCACTAGCCCAACTAGACTTCCCTGCCAATTAAAAAAAAAAAAATTCTCACATTGAACAAACACCCAGCAATGTGCAACCTTAGTACTCAACCTCCAGCCAACCTGTACAGGACACACCAGCCTGCAGCAAAGCAGGTGTCTTGGTGATGGCTTTGGCATTCCAAGTCCCATTTATCTAGAGAGTGGTTTTGCACCTCAAGCCGCAAAAAATACTGGGGCTTCCTTTCTCTTCTGGGTCTGGACTGAGAATTGCTTAAAAATCACTTTTAGCCCAGCTGGACAGGCACAAACTGTAACATGCAGACTGACATCCCTCTGGCTGTTCAGCCTTAGCCAGGGGCAGTCAATTCCTGCCAGTTTTCTGTAGCTGCTCAGGAGAAAAGGGCTGAGGATYCCAATAATGCACAGCTGAGTCAAGCACCACAGAAGAGTCACTCATTGCATCTGTCTCCTCAAAAAACACTCAGTAATTCCTAATCTGGAGRGGCACTAACAGAATTCCCAAAATTCCCAATTTCCTTTGTGTATCAGACACACAGAGCAGCAATGGAGCAGGGGAAAATGTGGCAACAGTGAGATGATGCAAAAGATGCGAGATGAGACTGCGCCCACCAGATTCCAACACAGTCCAGCCCCACTCAGACCTCCCCAACCCAGTCAGGGATCCATTGGATGTTTCATGGTGAATTTATCMCCAGCTCAGCCCTGCTGCCCACAGGCTATTACTGCTGTTATCCCAGGACAGCCCAACACCAGGACAGCCCCATACGAGGTCTCCCACCTTGGGGGCTGGCACYGCCGGGCTCAAGGCTGTGTTCTTGGAAGAGGAGCTGTTGGAGCTCGCTGGTGATGTCTGAGCTGCCACGGATTTGCTGTTTGCACCGTTCGCACCATTGGCTGCGCTGGCTGAGTGGGAAAAAGTGAATTTGAATCCCCCAGCTGAAGTCCTTTTTGGAAGATTTTCTTTGTCTTCACTCTCCTTAGCTGAGGGACAAATATTGTCACACTTAGGTATCAGCTGCACACCAAGGAATATAATCCACATCACAGTACAATAGCAGGCCAGGAGCTCCCATGGTTTTTTTTTGTTCCAATTCAGCTGCAACTCACAGTTCCCCAACCAAGCCCATCCAGAGTCCACCTGCAGCAAAYTGAGCAGGGCCCAGATACTGAGGGCATGGGGACATGGCCTACCTGGAGCACACAGGCACTTCAAAGTTCTGCTTCTGAATGCTATTTAAACCAGATGCGTGCTCCAAGCAGTTTAACTTATTTTAATCCTAAACTGGCTTGCAAAGACACGTTTGCATCTCACGACTCAAATTACACAGAATCCTCGGTACTGTAGCTCAAGGTACAGAGTAAAAACCACTGGTTAGTTCAGGAGATTCTCCACRTATCTGCCATGGAGCACTTCCAGTGCCAACAAGCTCAAACTSAGTAAATACCTTTTTTAGTTTCCATAAATTTTTCGTAGCTATCTGGAAAATCATCCTCCTGTTTTGACTTCTCAACTGGAGGTACAACAGCTTCACCTTCTTCCTCTTCATCTTCATTGAACCACATTTCTTCATCCTCCTCCAAGGCTCTGGCATCCCTGCGGAATCTATTGCTACGCAATATGGATGGGACACTGTAAGAGACACATACAGTGATTCTAGTTTGGCTGCTGCTTCACACTCAGGATCAGAAATGCCTTCCAGAGCTTTAGAGGGAATTTGAGAAGGCAATCTAGCTCCACCTATGGTTCTGCCCTCACCCCAAGACTCACCAACACCCCAGCAGATGGTGAGACTAAATCCCAAATCAGAGTGGCAGAGCAACATTCTACTCCTCTTAAATTGAGTTTTCTGAACGTAACATTTCACCCACTGGCCAATATCAGCTCTACTACAGCTGGTCACAAGGAAAGGCAGATGAGCTTTCCTCTAAATGTGAAAAGTTTTCACCAAAAATGAATGCCAACCCCTATCCCAGCCTGCTGCTGCCCTCTGGGAAAGAGAAAACCAAGGAGCAGCCCYGCAGAGTGCCAGGCTCAGAGAGCAGAAACTGTGGCCTATACCTGTTCAGCTTCTGGCTTTGTCGGTCCTTCTCTTGCTCGTATTTTGTCTTCAGTCCCTTGAATGTCTGAACATATTCAATAGATTCAAGTGCATTATAGAAGTTTTCAACTATATGTGCAATAAGGGACTTAATATCTTCCTGCAGAAGAATAAAACAGGATTTCAGTCTCAAATGTCAAAGGCAGAAGTTCAGGARGCTTTTCAGTTTAGTGTGGAAAATAACTGATTCCTTGCCCAAAGCCAAACCATTATTGTACAATATTGTACAAATGTGAAAAATGACGTCAGRTTTATTCTTAATAAAAGAGCTGTGATCTTGAAGTAATTATTAGGCTTCCCATAGAAAGAGACAATAGACTCAGCAGTGTCCCAACTGTATTTGTGATACTTCTGTTAAACCAGGGTATTTTATCTAGGAGAGCTGTGCCCTGTTCTCCCCACAGGCTCCATCTCTCCCCAGTCCTCAGCAACAATAGCAGCTAATGTGGGACCAGGAACCTTTTGCTCAGTGCCTCTCTATCAAGTGTCTCATCGTACCAGGCAAATCCTACAATTCCTGATATTCTTCTTGCTGGGAAAGACAGCAGCTACAATATCCTACAACTAAAAACCATCCTTTAGTCTGACAGACCAGAAAAGATTCCCAGCAAAGCCTACTACTCCTAAAGGCACTGGCAGCAAGTGGCTGCAAAGCTGCTGCAAGTCCTTGTTTTCCATGGAGCTGGGTGCTCCTCAGAGCTGGAGCTGCAGCTGAACTCACCACTCTGATGAACTCAAACAGCTCAATSACAGCAGAGTTGAGCAGGTTGTACCGAGTGCCATTATCCAACAGGGCGTTGATAACCGGCTCAAAGAGGTTTCCCTTGGTGATGTAACGGTTATAAAATTCATCTTTCAGGCCGATTATCCGCCTCATAAAGCGGAGAGCACCTGTGGGAGGAAAAATTCAAGGATTTAACAACTGTGGGCCAGGGCTCGTGCAAAGAACTGAAACACCTGGTGTTACCCAGATGATGATGCACCCCCAAACCAAGRGCATTAAAATCTCATTCACATTAATTTACATGAATTACAAGTTCAAGTGTACACTGAAACACCTCTCACACAATGCACACCAAGCCTGGAAGAAGCAAATCACAACAGCTCCATACTCACACAAGGCCAGAAAGGTGTGTTTTGAATTCATCAATACCAGTACTCGTCTTAGCAAATCTTTGTTCATAATGTAATTCTTGATGTGATATGTGTGATGCTCCACACAAAAAGTAAGCAGTTCCAAAATTAAGGCAAGTAGTTGTGCTGTTTGGTAATTATCTGCAAGAAAAATAAACAATTTAAGCTTTTGATAGCAAGCTTGACTATGAAAAAGTAACTTAAAAACAGTTGAGAATGTTCCTTCAGCTTTTGGTCATCCAAAACGAAGAAAAGCTTCTGCATCTATTTCAATAAAAAGTATCAAAAGAAATAAGGTGTGGGCATAACTAACTTATTTTTTAACAGAATACCACACACAGCATACAAGTCAAGTTTCAAAACTCATATCAATTCAAACTTACCAGGACAAATTGTATTACTCTTAGTGGATCCAACTACTGCATCTGAGAAAGAGAAAATAAAAACAAAAATTGGAAAAAGGTTTTCAAAGCATCAGCAATATTTAAAAGATGGGGATAAACAATCAATTCCACTAGATGGTCAGATTTTTCATCAGATCAAAAGTTTCTGTGAGCTACAAGAACCTAAACGTGCAGCAAGAATGCAGCCAGGTGAGATTTTTATATTTAATTTACCTTATAGTTTTAAATCTATATAGGTGAAAATGTATAACCTAAAACTTAGGAATATTATGTAGAATAAAAGCACTAACTTTTTCAAATAATGYATTAAAATGAATACTACAGATCTTTTACAAGTTTTATTGTTGTATAGGATGTGCAAAACACTGTTTTTTAACTAAATATTTAAAATGAGACCTACATCTCTCTCTGCTTTACAGCAAGTATTTTTAAAATGCAATTAACAATTGTATAGTAGCGTGAGTAACATCAAGGAAGTGCATCTTTCACAAAGCAGAGCACGAAGCTACAGCAGCATCCAGAACTGCAGGAAAGAGCTGAAAGCTGCTGCCCACAGAACCCCTGTCCCTGGGGGAACAGCACTTTTCCACAAGTACATTCCCAGCTGACATTAGAGGCTGATCCCTGGGACCAGCACTGCCAAACACCACAGGCCTGAAAGGGGGAAAATGGAAACATTTCRGTACCTTTTTCACATTTATCTTCTGATGTATTGGCGAGAAGCGGCGCAGTGAGAACATGCATACAATGGTTGTAGAAGAAATTGAGAAATTCACTCTTTTCTGTTTTCTAAAACAAAAATTACTTTATTACACATTGGAATTTATACATAGGCTTTTAAATAACAAGGAATAGTAGCCAAGCTAACTATCACCAAAAACATCCCCACCATGCAAACATCTACTGAAAAAACATCAGTAACTCAAAATGCTTGACAAAAGTTTATTTTAATAAACACCTGCACAATGCCCCAAAAGGGAAACTTTAAGCTCATTTTGGGCTTGTTTAAATTCAGTAGCAGAGCAATATAATGTTTTTAACTTTGCTGAGACAGTGGAGTGCCCACACCCCCTGCATCTCCTTACATTGGCTGTAGCCAGCATATTCTCTGGGTCAATCAGAGTTCTCAGCAGCCCCATTAACTGAACAGCTCCCCCRAGCTCCGGATCTGTGTCACAGATCATCTGCTCAATGACCACATTGATGAGGAGGATGTCCTGCAGAAAAATACCAAACAAATACACCACCAAACAATCAGACACAGTTGCAATAGTGGAAAGTTATTTCCATAATTCCTGTAATTTTTTGAAGACAAATTTAAGRGAAACTGAATAATTGAGAGTTCTATTTGGATATAGAAATTCTATCAAGCACAACCCTYCACACCTCCAAGCCTCATCAGTCAGACTTCCATAACTGTAAACTCATGGAATATCAACATGCTCAGAAGTGCTTGTATATTAAATCTACTTTTCCCTGTGTTTCTAGAGATTTGTTTTGCTCTTTCATTTGTTTTCTGCTTTCCCAAAGACTGGTATGTTCAACAAACTGCAAAGCACTAAGACTTACATCATCACTCTGCTGGGCCTCTTGCATCACAAATTCTCGGACCATGGATGGGCTAAATTCTACTAGATAAGAAAATATATCTGTAGCAGCAGATCTAACCTGCAGATCATCCATTCCCTAATAAAAAGAGAAGTTAATTAGCATGAACAAATTAAGTTTGTTTTTATCATCAAGTAAAGCTGCAAATAAAAGGTACTTCAAAATTYTGAGAACAGCTCATTACCAGACTTTCTACGAGAAACAGAGCACTAAACCAGCAAAATGAATTGCAGTGGTCAGGCAGCAACAGCTGCTTCAACCACAGGAATGAAAAAAAAATTCTGTTTTCCCACTGCTGATTAGGACAGATTAATCTGCTAACGACAGGATTACAGGATCTTTCAGGATCTTTCAGCCAACAGTTCAAGATTATCTAAAAATACTTCTCTGGCCCTGGGCCAACAACAACCACAACAATCCAGTTGCCACAGAACAGAGAGTCTCTTCCAGTTTTGATCCCCACTTGTCCCAAGGACTGCACTGACCAGAGGCTCACACAGAGTGAGTAAAAATGCCCAGAGCAGCCAGGTCAGGCACTTCAGAGGGGCAGCCCTTGCATTAGGAATACTCCCATCAATTCCCAGTCAGCACAGCACAACTGACACAGGGGAGCTCAGCAGAGGCAAAACTGCTTCAATGGCTGTGGGTCRTCTACTTGCATTAAAATGAGCCTTAATTTTCACTCACCATTACGATTTCAAGAGCTGGAAGAATTCCCAGTTTTGCCAAAGTTTTGAAAAATGCATCTCTGTTCTGAGGTTGTAACGTCTGAGAAAAGGCGCAGAATTCCTTGAAAAAGTTCACCTGTTCATAGGAAAAAAATAATTACAAGTGTATTTGGGTCAGAAAACTCTCTGAAAGGAGGGAAGAGTTACATTTTGTAGCACAGTTTGCRTGCTGCTGATTCTGCAGAAATCCCTCAGTGACTGCAGAACAATTTCACTGTTTCTGTAGTGCCCTGGAGGAACCCCTGAGAACTGGGACTTACCAGTTCACACCGTTTGTCGTCATCTGTAGCTTCATCTGTTAATTGTGCAAAAACTTCCGATAAAAACTTCTCATCTTCCTGTGCAACACAAAAGGAACACACCTTACACAGCGCCTCTGCAAAGGCACAACTTCCACCCTTACAGGATTCAACCCTGAAGAAAGTACCACTCAATCCATTTTATCCAAAAGAAGGCAAATGCCAGAGCACACATCCAGCAGGATCATTTCCAGAGCATTGTTTCAGCATTCYCTCTGAGCAGCAGAARCGGATCCAGGAGACCAGAGCCAGGTGAAACTGAGCTCAGTGAGGATCCCTAAAACTGCAACTACAAAGTGCCAGCCAAGGGACAACTTTGCAGCCATGTCCCCATTATCTTATTCACAATAAAACATCCTCTGCCACTTGCACACTCTCTGCTTTGCCAAGCTGGGAAACTTTCTGGACTATTATTGGCTTTTCACATTCATGTCCTTTACTACCAAGAGATATTTAGGTACATACAGGACAATACCTCACCTCTTTGCAAAGCATTTCAGCTAGCCCCTTGCATAAAATCAAGAGATACATGAAAACCAGGGTGAGCATCAGCATCTCTCAAGGGTTTGGGCACTTTCTGCCCTTTGATTATTCTCCACTCCTTCACATTGAAAATACTGTTGGCATTCTCTCAAATCAGATGTTTCTGCTACCTTTTAAAGACAATATAAATCTGAAAGCAATCAGTAACATGCTACAGCATTACAAAATTTTGCATCACTGTATGGATTCAACTCTTATAAATTTCTGCATTGAATAAACATGAACAGAAGAGCAGCATTCCAATAAATATAAATGAACTTTACATTGCATAACATAAAGTGTGTTTACCTCTCTCTATTTCGCTATCACTAAAATCTATGTACTTTATTAGGATAACTTAATACAGAATTTTTACAGTTACAGCAATGCCAACCAAAGACTACCAAAMCTTTTCCTGACAATTTTAAGATGTGGGGAATAGAAGTGCTTTACAAACAAATGGTACCTGGAATCAACATAACAGGGAGTGCAACAYACACAGATTTAGCAGTTTATTTTAAGCTTTGCTGGCTTAAAYAGCTTAATTAAGCCTGTTACAAAAAAAACCAAACCCATACTACAATAAACAGCAGATATGGTACATAATCCCTAYTGCAGAACACTTGAGCACAGAAACATCTCCTGCTTGTGTGAGGCTGCTACACAGCCCAGTCCTGCTGTCCTAAAGCACAGGATGGATGGAGGTTCCTTTCCCACRTGGCTGCCCTTCCATCAGCAGCAGCACTGGGATCTAGTGCTGTGTGGCACGTAGAAAGGAGCTTTACTGCCGTGGCAAACACAATCTGCTGCTCCTCTAAACTGCCTTCTCCCAGGGAGCTTTGCCAGTGTATTTAGGGTAACAGAACGTCCAATGTGTTCCCCAAACCCAAAGGAGCTTTAGAGTTCTTGTGCCCAACAAGCTGATTTATACCACAGGGCTGCAAAAGCAGTCCTCGACCTGAGGTCCCCACTACCAGAGAGGGAATTTTCCTCAAGTGTGTTATAACAGCTCTTCCACGTGTACTTCTTAGTCCGTAATTCTCAAGGATCAACATTATTTGTAAATCATCACATGTCTCAATTACAGCCTTTAAAACAAGCAGGCAAACTTATGTGCCACATACTCCATCCATGATGTCAAAGACAGTCATGARAGAACTAGCAAAGAACTGTCAGAGGATTTCAGAACCTTCTCCAAAGAGCACTTGAGGTAACACCAAATYGGTTTTCTGTTACAGCACAATAAATATTAAAAATCCAGTACTGTACAGCCTCAATGAAAAATAAAGAACTTTACAGACTTAAAAATCTCTATATGCAAAACAGGCCTCAGGAGAATAATACTGAATTTATTTTTCGTTTTTGAAAATATATGCGAAAGAATTTAAAGGAAAATATTTAACACAAAGCCGATAATTTTGTGAGAGGGACTTAATTTTTTATTTCTTTCTGCTATTGAGCCACAAAGAAGATAGTAGAAAGAAGCCAAACTGCATACTCACGCAGTTCCCTGCAATTATTCAGTTTTGAGTTATTTTCCAGTCCTTACTGAACTCTTTACCACATTTCACCCAAATCTGAAGTCATTAACATATTGTATATGGATATACAATGTCTTCAGTGCCCTTCTCTTTCTACCATTTTTATTTCCTTCCTCTAAACAGCTCTTCTTGGTGTTTCACAGAAGCTCTCCACACTCACCCCAAGAGGTCTGTGATCTATCCTGCACAAATATACYATTTTTGGACACAGATAAACAGAAWAAAGCCACTTTGGTACCCATTAGTTTGCACAACACAGCACCAACTGGAAAGTTCACACAAGTCTTCACAGAGTCTCCTTCCAGGGTCCCAGCCATCTTGGAGACTGCTTCAGATTACAAAGTATGCAGGACAGCTTTTCATAAAGTAACAGCTTGGTTATTTATTAATTATTGCTTCTGGATATCAGTATGAAAAAAACTCAGTAATTAGTTACTGATTTTTTATGTCAACACGAACACTTGAAATTAGTACCACGATGTAACAGTAGTGTAACAGGAATGGTTCTAAACATGCTCTTTTGAAACACAGATCCAGAATCTTTTACAAAAACAGCACAAATGTCCCTGATACAGAATACAAGAAGTTGCCTGTTCCTTAAATACCTACACAAACTAKATCACAAGGTGTATGCTGCTTGGGAATAGAAAATCTTCAAATTCACAACCCATTAAAAGATATCAATTTACTCACCTGAAATGAACCTTTTCAAAATACAAAATCAAAGATACCAAAAAGCAGARGAAGCATTCAAAATGTTGTGAAAATCGAAGTGTGTGTGATTACCTGTGATCCATTTTGAAACTACAACTACAGGTAGCTATACCTAATTCATCTAGACCATATAAAAAACCACTTACCTGTAACATACTGACAATCTCAACTTTGTTGAAGAAAATAAAGGAAGTGAGGGTAGAAAGAAAATTCTCTTCAAAAACAGATGGTGTYGGCAAGATGATATCCTGAATATACTGTACCCTGTAAGTCTGGTGGATTTTTTGCCTGAGTTCAGAGTCTGTAATAGGAATAACCTCCTTAAATTTTGCTGTTTTGGTCAAGAACTCCCTGTGCCGTTTTGGCTGAGCCAAAGAAGGATCATACTCGAGGCATCCAACCACATCCATAATACACTCGTCAGAGAACATCACCTCAAATAGAGTTGCTTTGTTGAGGAACAAAATCCCTCTAATGATTTCATACAAATGATGCAAGCCTTCAGTGTTCTCTAAATTCTCGCAGACTTGGAAAAGCTGTAACAGTTTTTTAATGTAGCCTTCATTCTCCAAGGCCAGTGCCAGCTTTTCCCTACGGATGGGTGAGGAGAGAACAGAGGTAACTAGGTCAGCAATCTCTTCAAGTTTGTTGAGTTCACAAGTAGGAAGGTCAATCAAAGGACTGGTTTCAGGCATTTCCTCTATGTGTTCCTCTTCTGATTCAATAAGGTCCTGCGTGACTTCCACTGAAGGATCCTTACCCTGAACCTAAGGAAAGAGTGCACRYAATTACTGTCTCATCCCAAAATATACACAAAAATGAGCAGGTCAATAACTGAAATAAAAACGCATCTCAATTGCCTGGTTTGTCCCAAGGAAGCTGCTAGGGAATCTGAGCTCCCTGGTTCCTCACAGCACATTTGCAGTTCCACTGCACTCCAACAAGCTGCTTCCTGAGGCCAGCTGGGAGAAGGACAATTAAAACATGGAATTCTGACAGTCCCTTTTTTAATAAACACAGTCACATGAACACCACTCCYCCCTACCTCCCCCAAAAAACCCCCACCAACCACCTGAGTCCCACCATTACAGTGATTTTTSAAAAGCCTGACATTCAATTAGAAAAAGAACAACTATGTTCTAACCAGGGGCAATTCAAAATCTTACACAGAAAATAACAATGAATATTGCTTCTTTTACAAGCAGGTTTAAAAAGGTTGCACAAAAACATTAAATCACAGAAGACACTAAAATATCTGGAAAAACCTGCATGTTTCATGTTTACTGTACCTGGCAGATTTTTTCCCAAATTTCATCACAGCCAGCTTTTTCTTGAAAACTCAGTGCTAAATCATAGTTCTCTGCTTCTGACCAAACAATCAGGGTGTCCTGTTTGAGATAAAAACATGAAAATAATGGTTTCTGAAACAGGTCTGCACTGCATATTAATCTCTATTCCCTTAGAGTCACTGTCTACAGAGTAAATAATTTTAATTAAAGATACACTTGTCAAATAAAAAAGAACACAAGACATTAAAATACTAAATCACTTGTTCTGCCAAAGGGAACAGTTAACTTTCTTTTTCGCTATTTTATGACCACTATCTTACGCAAAATATATTCAAAAATACTATTTTTCATATCCAAGCCACTTATGATGGCACTTTTCTGCTWTATTTCTTGAGCCAACAGTCTTGAAATGAGAATGTACACACCAGATTAAGAAAACCTGCAGTATAACAGTTTAAGTATTTTCATATTTAGTAAAGTAGAAACAAAACCCGTAAGATTTAAGTTTCCTCCTCAGAAAGGGTTTAAGACGCTAGTGAGAGATAATGCCTACCTAATGTTCAAATATTCTTTTCTGAATTAAAAGTCATACASCCTGAATAATATAAACCTTTTAAGTTCTGTGGAGTTACAGTCATCTTGACAGTTATTTTCATTTGAGCCACATTTTTTTTCTCTTTTACTATTGTCTCCAACAATTCAATCTGCGGACTTGCAAAGTAGATCTAGAAATTTCAACGGAATTTGTGAATAGATTAAAACGGTTTTTGAAGAGGTTTTATTAGGACACTTGCTGCTGTCCTGTAAGGAATGTGAGCCTATACTTCAACATTCAAATATAMAGTGGYTGTGGTTTAACCTCAGCTGGCAAGYAAGCACCACACAGCYGCTCACTCACTTYCACCAGTGGGATGGGAAAGAGAATCGGAAAAAGTTGAAACTTCTACTCGAGATAAGAACTGTTAAAAAAACTTTAAAAGTAAAATATAATGAATAATTGCAACAGTTACAACAATAAAAARGAAGATGAAGAAAGAAATAAACCCTGAGAGACAAGTGATGCACAGTGCTCATCACCCACCTGAGCAGCGATTGGCCCCTCCCAGCTGATCCACCCAGTTTATCCACTGTCCCTGTTATCCCATGGTGTGGAATATCCCTCTGGCCAGGTCASCTGTCCTGGGCACAGTCCCTCACAGCTCCTTGTGCAGCTCCTCACTGGCAGAGTGTGGGAAACTCTAAAGTCCTTGATTTAAGGTAAGCACTGCTCAGCAACAACTGAAACRTCCCTGTGTTATCAATGTTATTCTCACCCTAAATCCAAACCACAGCACTGCACCAGCTACTGGGAAGAAAAGGAACTCTATCCCAGGCAAAATCAGGACAACAATTCACCATCCTACAGCAAACTCATCTTCATGTAAAAAATGTCCTAACTTTGCAGTACATTTGATGAGCTCCAGCAGAACYGTTCAACATTTTAAATCTGTTGACTTCCTGAACTGTTACCACGGTTTTTTAAATACTGAAATGTTTCTTAACCACTAGCAAGCCTTTGCTTAATGGTTAGTAAAATAATTCCCACATTTAYAATGTTCAATATTCACCACACAACTCATGAAGATTTGTGAAATCTTAACCTTATSCATCACTTTTAGTGAACACAAAATATTGAGTGGTATCTTCAAGCTCAGCAAAAAAAAACCCAAAGAAACACCTGAATCACAGATACCTGATACTCCTTAAGAAGCTTCAGGGGCAGTAAGGTTTAAACAGACCTTTGTAAATGCAGTTATCTGGGCTTACATGAGTCAGGCAGCACTGTGTAGTTCCAGATAGAGTGGACTAACATTTGGGAAGGACTGCTGGAATGGGACAGCAGATTTCCTCTTCCATCAGCAGAGTCATTTGGAAACACAACAAACACAATTTTTCAGCTGCTAAACTATCACTGGAACATGAATGAATGAACATCAGCAATGCTGATACAGTTTTAATTCTTCAGTTCATTTCTACAGTAATCCTAATCTCAGGATATCCAAGTGGAGTTACATACTTTTGGGATTTTGACTTTCTTCTAAGAAAAGTTTAGCATAACACCATTGTTGACAAATGCCTACCAATAGATCAGCTTCCTTCTTCCAAAACATAATCAGAGGCCACACTAATTTGCACAAACTCAACTTTTTTTCTTTCTTACTAATTTTTACACATCTCTTTAGAGAAACCAAGTTTCCCTGTTGTGGAAAGAACTCAGTTCAACGCACTATGGTTTCAGCACTGTTTTGTTTATTTATATTACTGTCTCCTATGCTACACTTGCACTTCTATCCTACAGTCACAAATATYAATAGGGCGTCCCTCTGACCTCAGGCTCCAACTCACATGCACAAATGGTCCAAGTTCTTAGAGCTGACATAGTTTTTACTCCCAACTGTCCCCCCTCATCTCCAGCTCAGGACAGCTGGATCTCTGTGTTTACTGTGTAACCTTTCAGAGCCAACGGTTCAAACGGGCTTCAAGAGAAAAATAATAATTGTCAACTGCAGGCACTGAAAAGCCTCATCAGCTCCCTGATTTGGTTCTCTTTCAGAGACTAATAAAAAAATAATTCTTAATTACACTTCCATGACTGTTACAGAACTCAAAACGTGAAATGTTTATCTTGAAACATTCTATGGAAGAACTGATGCCCTGACATTCAAAATCAATGCACTCCCAGGTAAGCTGAGCTTCAGAGYTGCTTTGCTGAACAAAGGACAAACCACACATTCAGCAGCCCTATTCATAGCCCAGGATGATTCAAGTAAGAGAATTAATGCAGTTACTTAAAATGACTCCAAGCACCCAGGGACCGCAGTCAAAAATTTGTGAAAATTCTTGAGTTACTGAATGGTACTGCTACAATCTGTACTGCCCACACAAAGTAGAAGTTATATAAGCTTTTCCAAAAATACTTCAGAAAGACTGAAAGATGGTTTCAACGGAAAATAATTGTCCAATACCAATATAAGACATACTCATCTGGCACACACTTCCTGTATGACCTCAGATAACTCACAAAGAGCACAGAGAGACACCTTCCAGGCCTGGGTCTACCACTCSCACCTGCTTAGAGGCAATGCTGGTCCATCCACGACTAACAGCAATGTTCCTTAATTCACTCAAACACCATAAAAAAAACTAAGAAAATATTAATTCTGAACAAAACTTGAAACTCAGAGCAGTTCAAACCCCTCTCCACTGCTGGTACTGGTTTACACAGTACTGCACCTGTGTTCCTGCACCGCACCATGTCCCGACGCCAGCACCAATGTGCTGCACAGGGAAGCAGATGGGGCAACTGATAAAATAAACCCAGCAGGAAGACATGTTTCAACGGACTCAGTTCTACAYCTAACCTGCCACACAGTGAACATTCCTGCTGGCATGAAATAGGAGTGAAGAAGGCCTCTGGCAACCACTCAGGCTGGCTTTAACAGCACCCCTGCAAATGTGTTAAATCCTGGCCGCAAGGAACTGATTCTGCCTCGAGCAAAGCGCTCTGTTGTCACAGGAGTGATGGCAACTCTGGGCAAAAGACAGGATTTGCACATGTTCCTCATCTCAGTGCTGCAAACAGAGCATACCTAAAGGAAAGGTAACACCAGAAGACAGCATTACCAGTAAGGATTTCTGTAGCAATTCAACATCTTTCAGCCATAGACATGCTTATCTGCCAGTTCTGCCAGGGAATGCTAACTTCGAGCAGAGGCTGAAACAACAAAAGGGTGTGGTGCCACCTTTTAAAWCTGCTCCTGAAAGCACTTCCAGAAYGAATATGACCTTGCCCTCTGGCTAATGTGGGGTAGCCWGCAGAGGTGTGTAACTCTCAAAGCCTATGGCCCAAAATCCAGGGGGATCTAAAGCTCTTCAGGCTCTTTGCATGTTCTTTGTATTCATCTAATTAGAGCTAATTTTACATTGTATGCTGAGCACCTTGGCACTTATGTCCAAAACAAGCCCTATTTCCCTTGAGAACGCAGTCGTGATGACAGTGTGCCTAATACCTGGACAGAATGAATTACCCAGGAACCACAAACACGACTGCAACAGGCAGGTAACAGGCCAGTCCGGTTTGGGGTTAGTCAGTAGTTATAGCACGACTTGGCACTAAYAGTGTAATACTGGAAGTCCCTGACTGATGTGCAGCACCAAAAAATCCGTGCTCAGTTTCCTTTTTTCACAGGATGCTGTTATGCAAACCACAGTTAAGCGTTAAGTACCCTCTAAGTCCACTCAAGTCATTTACACAAAGATGTGCAGAAGGGCATGTTTCTTTACCATCAAGCTGCAGCACCCTGAGGCTTTCCCCAAATCCAAGACGACCAACTTGAGGACACTGCCCTGTGTCAACTAAAAGCTGCACGAGGTTACACAAACCTTAAAGAGAGAACAGCAATTCAAGGCCTTCTGCCACAAGGACACAAAAGCATTAGTATCAGAAATAAAAGCCAGCCAAAATAAACCTCAGCTTAAATTTTTCTGAACTATGATCTACCCTTTCCACAAGAWAAATGGCAACAAAAGCTACCCAAGTCACTTGAAACTTTGCCACCAATTCAGTAAAAAGGCCTACAACTAATTAGTTGTACTTGCAGGAAACAGGGTGTGAAAGGAAGCATTTTTAAAGTTTACAACAATATAATCTGTGTTTGCATTTCACTATGTATAGGTTTCCTCCAATAAACAGGAAGCAGTYCAAGACTCTTGGCTTCTGGAGCTCTGCAGAGCTTCTTCCTCAGCATGGCCCACCCAAGGAAAGCCCACAACCACCAATCTCTAAMAAGTGAGAAGCAGAAACCACAGCAATCAGCCTTCTAGAAAGATTAGGCCAAGACTCCACCTCATTCCTAACCTAAAGTGAGACAACCAATGCTCAAGAGATAACAAAGTCTCTTTCTCAAATTCTCATACTGTAACTTGTCACTATAACAAAATCCTTAAAGGAAGAACAAAATTACTGTTTTCTAGTACTGAAACACTTCTGGATACCATAACGATAAAAAACAGTATCAAACACTGAATGAAAGAAACAGAGACTCTACTGTACAAGAAAGGAACAGACAGAAAAAACTCCAGAAAACCCACAAGAACAATGCAGGCAGAGACATCAAAAATTAATGCTGAAAAGGGGAAAACAATAAAAGTAATAAAAGCAGAGAAGATTCAGTAAGCTGATTTTTTYAATGGATGAAACAAAAATAACCTATTAACACAGCTCCCAACTGTTTTACTTCTTTGTTTGGCAGGAGATTGACCCCTAGGAAAGGTAACTCCCACCACAGCTTGTGGCCTTACCTAGGACAGCAGTTCTCAGGGCTTAAAATAAAAATTAAACAGCAACAACAAAGAAGTCACATAAAGACAAATTCCTTTGTTATTTCCAAAAAAAAGAACTCATGATGAAAATAAATACACTTCAACAGAGGTGGCAAAAGTTTTGCCCTCTTAATTCTACAATTATTTCAGATGGCCTGAGATGGGAGACAAAAGTGRCACAAATGTTTTCAACTATCTTTCCTGTAATGATTTCAATATTTATTCAAATTACATAATTATCTTCAAAGCCTAAAGTCCAGAATGTTTTTTTTTCCTAGAAGACCCACATGCTTCTAAGCAAGTCTTTCACCTCTATAAAAAACACCATCAACAATTCCAAGTCGTCCCGCTTTTCCTTTTCTCCTCCAAGCACAAAACAATTCTTTGGCAACCAGAAACAGTAAAGCCTAGCAATAATACTTGCCTGCTGTTTTTGATATGCAGTATTTGGATTTATCTTCGATTCTAATAGTAGTGAACCTGAAAAAGGTATGAAGAGAGATTTACTGAATTCAACAAAACAAACATCTCCACACATCTCACACCACTGCCCACGTGCCAGCCAGCAGACGCTCAGCTTAATCCAAATCTTCCAGAAAATCCACAAGAACCGCCTCCTTTAAATATAATTTCCTAAAATAAGCCAGGTAAGACAAAATTCAACAGAAATGTCCCTATTAAAATGCATTTTTCTCTTCTAATTTAGTCCAAAATCTACTGTAGCACTCTTTTCTCCCAAAATCTGGTAGAAGAACCAGAATGTTCTGTGGTCTTTTAGGCCACCCATAGAAATTTCAGCATAACATGCTACCTAGCATAAAAATGTTTTTGCMCAGAGAAGCCACGTGGGCCACTTGCTTTTATTCCCTTCAACTGCCCTTCAGAAGTGAATCACCCAGCTACTATAAACGCAGGGACTTTATCTTGTGTATGCAAGTAGTCTATGTCTCCTGGCAACAGCTCCCGAGCAATTTATAYCAGTCTTAGGTGGTTTATTTAGCACATTAGCACCTGTCGGCTGACMAAGTGGAGAGCACGTGCCTCCCCCTCCTAAAAAATACCCTTTAAGATGACTTTAAAGTGCAATAAAACACGAGGATGCCACCCGACTCGAACACAACCACTGAATTCCTGGGGGGAAAAAGAGCAACAAACAACTTTTTACAGGAGCAAGAACGTTAAGAAAAGAGCACCTCAAAAGCAAAGCATATTGCACTGAAAGTGAACAAAATGTCGTCACGCGTCACAACTTCAGCTCTGTTCAGGCTGGGGAGCTGTAGCTGGCTGGGGTAATTTCATTAGCCCTCTAAGTCAGGGGAGGTTTAGGATGGATCTCAGGAAAAGGTTCTTCCCCCAAAGCCTGATCGGGCACTGAACAGGCTCCCCAGGGAATGGTCACAGCCCCAAGGTTGCCAGACCTCCAGGAGTGTTTGGACAACGCTCCCAGGGATGCACAGGATGTGACTATTGGGGYGTCCTGTGCAGGGCCAGGAGCTGGCCTTAGATGATTCTGATGGGTTCCTTCCAGCTCAGCATTTTCCGTAATTCTATGAACTGTGAGGGGCGAAGTCTCGGGCCACGATATCAAACACTGCTGTGGCTYGTGGGGGTAAAGAAACTTCGTGCGGAGCCGCAAGGTAAGGGAAGGAAAGAAAAGAAGGGGAGAAATATAATAATAACAATAATCCTCTGGAGTCTCCCAAGGGAAGACGCCATCAGCCGATCCCGGCGGTGGTGGGTGGCAGCCCCGGCTGGCGKGGCCCGGAGCCGGGCGGGGGTCGAGGGGAAGCGGCCCGGGCAGTCCCGGCCACGCTCTCACCGTCCGACTCGGCGCGCACCAGCAGCGACATCCCCTTCAGCCGCTCCACGTAGCTGGAGGAGACGTGCCCGGTGCCCCTGTCGTCCCATTGCCGATCCTCGTTGAGCGTGTAGACCTTCACCCGCCGGCGGGTGTCCGACATGGTGCAGCGCCGGGCCCGCTCCGCCTCCGCGGGGGCGATGGAGCGAGGGCGGCGGGGAGAAAGCGGGGCCACCGGGCCGCTCAGGGGCACCGCGGGGCCTTTAACGCGCCGCTTCCCATGGCGAGTCAGCGCCGCCGCGCCCGGCCCGGGCCTCGCTGGCGCCGCTCCGCCTCAGCAGCTACCACAGCAGCGCCGCCGCCATCTTGTAACCCGGCTCGGGCCGCCTTTCTCTTCCTCCCCGCCCGGGCACGGGCTCCCCTCGCAGGGGCTACGGCGGCCGCCCGCTGCTGCCGCGCCGCCGACGAGACGGCGGCCTCAGGGGCGGGGCCCGCGCGCGCTCCCTCACGGCCCCGGGCGGCGCCGAGGCGGGAACGGGGAGGCGGGAACAAAATGGCTGCGGCCCTCACAAGGAGGGGTGCGTGGGCAGATCGTCGCTTTATAACGCCCAAAGCGGCTATAGGGGGAAATGGCGCACATGTCCTTCCGAAAAAACCTTAAATTTATTTATTTGTTTTGGGGTTGTTTTTATTTTTAAAGTCTAAAAGCTGATGCCACTACTGACGAAGCACACGCCTTCCCCCCCTCACGCCACAAGAGGTGCCACCCACCACCGTCACACCAACTGATGGGCGCGCTCCACACCCCGGCCAGGGTMAATCTAAACAGCGCACGCAACACAGAGTTTGAACTTTTAGAAAGAAAAGGTGTCCCTTGCATCACAAAACAGCAGAAAGGTTAGTGAGCGGCATCTCCTTTTAGCAATAGCCACACTAACACACTATCTCTGCATGCTTTGTACATCTCCAAAGAAGGCTCGAAAACTTAAGTTGAAGCCTCAGAAAGGAGAGAAACGTGCCTAATTAGCCCTTACACACMGTGTACAATTTAAGACAGACCACTGGCCAAGCATCTAGAATCTGTAAATCTTCAGTTTTCCACACTAAACACCAGCTACACGTTTCCTCTGTACTACAAATAAAAAAAAATAATTACATCTCCGTGTTTGCGTGGAAATAGTAAAAACGGATACAAAAGCGTTCAAGGAGTCAAGCTGTGTGAAACAGCGTGGAACGGGGGACAAGAGGAAGCTTGAAAGTGTCTCCAAACCCTATTTYTGAGGCTCTGAAGGGGAAGGAGATGCGAGGGCAAGTGCCCCTGCGGCCAGGGTGTGCCTCATTCCCAGACAAAGCCAGACTTTCCTGGCTCTTGCCTCACGGTGAAAGCAGTTACACCSGTATGACTCTTATTTACACGACTGGCATTTCTCTGCTCTAAGTTCAGTGTCGTTYCCGAGGAAGGGAAAGAAAAAGTTCCCAACAAAATATGCCACTCTGAGTAACTATGTTTTTCTAAGGCATGGAAAAGTTGCACATTCTGTATACAGAAAAGTAGCATCTAAGTAACATTCAAGTCTCAGCTTTAGCTCTGACATTCATTGTAACAGGCCTCTAAGATTCACCATAGAGTCACCAAGAAAATACAAGATACACCTCTGAGAAYTATCATATACACTTATATTTAGCTGTATATGAGCACACTTTGGGACGTGCATCATTATGGATAAGTGACTCAGTACTATAAAAAGACCACGTTAAGAATCGTTTCAAAAACCCTGGATTGAGAGTCACATGAACTAGTTTACAGTCAGGTTCCACACAAAAACTTTCCCTGCTATGTTTTAGTGGCCTTTCCTCTCAAGGTTTTAYACACAGAGCATATTTCTACCTTACAGAAAGCTCCGTAAAAAGCAAGCACACATCAAGAAACACAACCCCCAATGGCCACAGCGTATTTCTGCCTCAGGACTCATGAACTCCCTCTCCCCTCTGCATGACTTCTATGCAGGCTTTTTAGCTCTTCAAATCAAATGCACGAAAATAAAAGCATGATTTCTACTCATGATTAAATGCAGCACTTCTTGCGCTATATATAACACCAAGAAATGACAGCAGAGTATTTTGGAGGCAATTCTTATGGTGAAGAGTTACAGAAAGGAGGTATGTGAATTAGAATTGGCACAAAATATTATTTCTTGTGCTTAAGCTGTGAAATAAATCCATAATCTCTCCAGGCATAAACTCAATGACCTCTGKGGAAAAATATCACTCCAGAACATACCAGGATTGCATTCACTCAGAAATGGGGCTTCTCTTTTCCCTAAACAGCATCTGGGGGGTTGTGAAGCCCAGTGTGACCCTGCCATCTGTACCCACAATGAGCAAATCAGCTCTGGGGGCTTTGCCTGGATAAGACATGCAATACTTGCCCCAACAAATCTTATAGACTGGATTTAAACCCAGGCTAAGACCAGGAATGCATCCGAATCTCTGCTCTCTAAGATGCACAGAAAGCAAAGTGAAGTTTTCCATGGTGGTGTTGCACCTGCCRGCAGCTCATCCCTCCCTGTTACCGTCACTAAGTTATCAATGTTGAGAATTCTCTGTTCTTCATCAAAACCAAGGATTTCATTAGGGTAGACAGCAGACAGAGCAATTCACAAGAGTCACAACAGGAGCAGCATAGTGCTCCTTTTTTTTTTTGTTTTCCAAAGCAAGACAGACAATTCCTAAATAACTTAAAATTTCTTGGAGTAAAATTATCATTCCCCCTGGCATATAATCCCACAAGTACAATTAGACCAGCTCTTACACTTTTATGATAGCACTATTTATTGCTGGCATTTAGAGATACCCCAGCTCTGCACCTGCATGAAAACTTCAGACTTGTCAAATAAAGGCCCTCTTGACCTGCTGCAACTGCCCAGCTTCACTCTCCAAGGCAATTCCTTTCAATGGCTCCACTCAAGACAGGTCATAACAGAAGCTTATGTCACGCAATAAAAAGAATTTAAAATAAATCACTATTTCAAACATGAGAAACCAGCTGCTGCAGGACTGAGTTTGTCCTCAAGCACTACAGACCCACCTGCTTTCTGATCATAGCTGATCCCACCWGAGAGCCAAGTGCCTCCTGCCACCGCCCCACTGCCGGCTCTTGGAGAGCCCAGGATGTCCTTCCCTGCAGGGTCAGACCAGCACACGCTTACTCAACTCTTGGCTCCCATTGAGCTTCTCTCCCCAGGTAAGAGCAGCTGCTTTCTGCTCCTCCCAGACAGTTCCCAAGTGTGTTCTTCCCCCGCCCCTTCCCACAGGGCCTAAAGCTTRTTCCAGATGCAGAAAGTCAGGCTGACTGTACAGGTTCTGCCACAGCAACATTAAAGTCATTCTCCTCCTTTATCATTTAGCAAACAGACAATGCCCCAGCACTGCAGTAGCTGCTTTACTRAGGCCAGGACCACAAGGTAGCCTCACAGAAATTACTGTACAATTAAGAGAGATAAATCTTGGAAAACCATTTAGGTTAGGAAAGTCCATTTCTGAGAAGAGTCACCAGAAACAGAAACATCTAAGCTTCTGTTCAGGGACTTTAACATTGATCTACAAAATTTTATTAACACTATTCATATGTAACAACAATGGATCAGTCAACTATCACAGTAAGAAATGACATCTGAATTCTTCCTAAGAAATAAGACAGCCTTCAGAGTGAAGGAAAAGACTGCCAAGGAAATCGTTCAAATCTTTCCAACTTTCTTCAATTTTTCAATCTTACATGACGAAAGACAGAGACAACTACAGGGCAGCATACCAGTAATTTCTTTTTTCTTTAATACTTTAACTTAGAATAAAAAAGGGAGTACTTTTTACTGTACATTCACATTTCTCCTCTCCCCAGTGCTTTGCTTTTTCTTTCAGGAGGTTCAGAGCCCACTTGCCATCAGGTGGGAAGTTGCTTTTCTTATTAGTTCTGCACACAAATTGATGAACATTAGAAGGACACTCTTTGATTTTCAAAGGTACCTCACAGTAGAAAAATGAGTAGCTCTCGTGAGCCCCTGGGAAATGTTTTGAATTCTAAAAGAGATCAGTGAACTTACTGAGGCAACATAATTAACAGAGGGATGAGGACACTCTTAATGAGAGTATTTTAGGGATTTATTGCATCAATTGTTCATTCAAAAAAAAAAAAAAGTATTTTAATTGTAATGTTTTAATTACATATTTTAAAAGTTAGTGCCAATGAACCCAGATAAGGGGTGATGTTTCAGCCAAGTTCTGCTTTTGAGAGTGATAGAWGTAAAGATGATACTTCCAATTCTTTATGTCTTGCTCARCATTTCAGTCTTGARCACTTGTACACAAAGTCAGTAAAACTTKGGCCAAATGTACCTCTTAACCAAGTGCAAAGGATAATTCCTTCTCCCACAAAMGTTATTCAATTCTTGCTTCTCAAATTCAGTTTTGAGTTGATAATGAGAYGAATCTTAAGCACTGAAATATCATCTTCTCAGTCTATAGAACTCCATGTTCTCAYATTCTCATCTCAGCCTTGTTACACAAGACAAGGGCATTGCTTGTTTCTGTTTTTATTTTGAAGTTTTTAATATATTTAAAGGCTCCGAAGTTCTACATCACCTTTAAGCGTAAATAGTGTCTATTTTATAAATATGATTCACTACCATCCACCTGCAGATTCTTGCAAGAACATGTAGATTGCTAGTAAAGGTCACTTTGATTTCCACRAACACCTTTGTACCTGAAAAAGAGAAAATACTCTGTAACCAACTCATTTTTCCAAGGTATGAAATTAAAKAAACATTTCTTAAAACCAAGATTTCTTCAGTGAATTTTCCCCTCTTGTAGTGCTGTCAATCATGCCTAGAAGATTGCCCTCAGTTACCACTGGTGCACTGTGCCTTTTCATTTGCCAGTCTTGCTGTGTAACTGCTCCTGATTTTAAGGTCAGATGCCTTCCTGTTCAAGCAACTTTCTAAGAACAAGAACATCTGCATAAGTTTTGGGAAAAGTTGAGGCATAAGCCTACTGAAAGTCAAATACATATTGCAAAACTACTTCTAAGGAAGAGCTTTGGCCATTTTATTAACTGACTGAATCATTACTGACTTAAGTCAAGAAAGCAGCTTATTTTTCCTTCTCTTCCAATGTCCTGTTTTTTTTTTCTTTAAAAGGTAGAGAAAAAGGATATTGTAGATAAACAAATAAGTTTGCTTTGGACAGAGTGGGCTATCCAGAATGCCTGAGACTGTCAAGGAATTTGAACCAATTTTACAATATCAAGCTCTCTACAACTACAGCACGTGAAGGGCCAGTTATTAACTCCCAATAAGCTTCAACACAGATGGCAAGCAGTACCTGCACAGCACTGAGAGGTAACTGCTCAGTATAAACCCAGACTGACACAATTCTTCACAAGAGCTGTAAAATGCAGTACTGAGTCAGCTGAAGCTGCTCCTCTGGC